TTAAAGTTAAGCCCAGGACAATCAGTTTTAGCAGATTTTTTCACTATTGGAGCAGTGACTTCAAAGCCTTTCAGCAGTTACTTGTGGATAGCTACCGATGCCTATGATAAAGAGCATTGTGTTCACATCAGTGGATAGTACCTTCTTTTCAACTACTGGTTTAGGACAAGGCATTTTCCCTTTTTTCTTTTCCTACAAGAACTATGACAAAGCAATGACTGACATTAACTGATCAAGCATTTTGACTACTAACAGCAACTACATGTTGCTGTTGTTTTACAATCTGTATGTAGCACTACCGACCCAAGATGTTTCAGCAACGCGTCCTTTAATCTTCATCCTGTTAAACAAGAACTACCATAATAAGACTCTAACTCAGTTTGGGAGCTAATACAAGAATAAGTATATGGAGGCCTCACAGCCAAGGGCTTTGCCTTGCCCTGCTTCATCCAGGAAGGAATTAAGATTCTTTCTGTTGCCTGTAAGTTTGTCTACTGTGATGTATAGTACTTGTAACACCTGACCTGAAGACCTCCTCTGAAATATGGTTCACACTTGGTATTAGAACTTTGAATAAAACGTTTTAGCAAGATATGCTTGCTAAAATTGTAATAGAACCAACACTCTGTACATTTTTCAGTTTAGTACCTGAAATCTTACTGAAAATTATAATTGAAGAATGATGAAATATACAACCCCTCTGGGGTTGGCTTGGAGGAGTTCAGATGAAAAATCTTATGCCTATCACTAGAATACTATGCTGAATGGAAATGTGGTGCCTGAATTCCTTCCCTGTGTCCTATCAATGTTCAATTTGACAATCCTTCAGAGATGGATGCATCAGTGTACCCATTATTGAACAAGCATTACATGGGATGCTCAGCCTCATCAAAGGGGTCACCATTTCTGTCACCATCCACAATACTACAACTTCCACTGAAGAGGCCTGAGTAAAGATGAAGGAAGCTGCTGACCACATTGCCGAACAATTCCAAGCACTGCAACCAAATAACTTGTTCAATGAATCAAGCCTTGGATGCCAGATTTCTTTTGGTTTTAAACCATGGGGTGGGGAAAGTGTTTGACACAAATGGGGACTGTAAAATTGGTGGGATTTCCGTTTTTAATGATGAGCATAACCCTTTTTTGCAACTTTGATTAGCTGCATACTGTCTTGCTTCCTCCCTCTCCTAGCCCTGCATATAATATATAGAGATCACCACAGCCAAAGATGAGCCGTATGTCCAACCAATAGTAAGGAATATTTGAGCCACTGGGTGATATAGATGTTTTGTCTCAAACATTCTGATTGTTCTGGCAGAAAAGCTGCAATTGGAAGACGGCCTCACTGAGGTGGGGCAGCACAGTGCTGAGCCAACTCCCTGCTCCATCTGGAGACTTGTACTCACTTCCCCACCCTATGCTCATTCCCTGGAGGAGGGCTCCAAGGGCTGGCTATGCATCCAAGAAAAAAAGAGCACAAAAACTCTCACATGTAAGAGGCTGCACCAGGTTAAATATGAAAGGAAGCAGACTGGACTCCACTGCTTTCTTTTTCCTCTCTTTCTCTTTCACAATTCCCAGCTCTGGACCAGCCACACAAGTGAGACCAAGGCAGGATCTAAGGACTGATGGTATTCTTTTGTTCTCTTCCTTTTCTGCTTTTGTTTCTCTTCTCCCTTGACTCTGTCTGGGCAAAGCACAGCTATCATTTTCTACTCCATACTGAAGTTTATTGTGGGAGTGGGGAGTTGTAGAAATGTTGGGGTTTGTGAGCCAACACCTTTAAGTAGTGTGTTGAGCGTTTATTAAAGTGTACTGTAAAAATTACAGGCTTGCAACCTAGCACTTGTGGAAGCTTTCAAATATCAGGGCCTGTTAGCCAACACCTTTTAAGTACAAATAGTGGACTGGTTGCCAGACACAAGATGATCACACAAAAAAGCACAAGAGCTCCCTAAAGCATGTCCAGTGTTTTTGTTGAATCCTGATGAGAATTTATAATGAACATCATGGCCCCTACAGATAGGTCATGACATGCTCAAGCAGAAATTCCTTTAGCTAGTCTTTTGGTAGTAGCTAAGCATCTGCTAGAGGAGATAAATTTGAGCAATGGAGAAATATGTCAAAAGGAAAGGGAAAAATAATAAAGGAAAAAGAAAAGCTGAATAGTGAATAGGACATGTAAGGGTTATGTAACAAAGTAGTAAATCTAACAATAAGAAGAGGTGAGCAGGAAAGGTACAACTTTTACACACCAAACAGCTATTCCTAAAGAATCACTTGATCACAAGAAATCAGTTTGTATACTAAAAGACCAGCAGAAACATACAAACACCACTACACAGCACTGAACTGGTACAAGCCCAGCTCTTAAAAAGTTTCATTATAGCTCTTAAAAAAGTCTATTCTGACCTCTCAAGCTGGAGTATGTGTCCAACCAGAACAGGCAATAATGAATTAAGACAGATGAAGAGGAAGATTCTGGAACTGTAGTTGTTCTACCAAATTAAATTTATGCATTTATGTTTAAACATTATACGTTAAAATGCATATATTGTATAACGCTTGGACCTCACATAAAAAAACTGTTTAAGCTATTTTTTACACAAGTCCTGAAGTTGCCCTAAGTACCATAACAAGACAATGTTTGTATAATTTTATGCACAAGGGAACTATTAATTCAAAACAATTAAAAAGTTTGAGTCAATAGAGCACTTGTAAAATACACTTATTTTAAAAATGCAAGCATTCCTGAAAGCTGCTGTATAAACACAGCCATTCACTGCACTTGAGAGAAACCCACAGAGTCCTTCTGCACTAGAGTATATGGTTACCATTGATATACAATAGAAGATATCTTGCTGCTCGTAAGACAACAGTAGGTCAAAACTGGAATGCTACCATGAGGAATGCAAATACAATTTTAGGATACTGCAAGAGAGATTACAACAACCACACCTGCCAAGGGTAACTGCTTAGACTGCAACATAAACTTGATTCAAATAACCCCATTCAGGAAGGCTAAACTTGAACTACAAAGGTGCAATACAGAGAGGAAGTTAAGCGTCTCATTTACAATAACAAAACAAGAGCTAAACATAAGCTTAATGACTGCTCTGAAAGCACAAAAGTAAAAGTGCCAGAGAAAACAAAAACTTACATTTTAAAAGGAAAAGGATCATATGCCACTGTATCTATAACTGTTAGAAAAAAGTCCCAGCACTGTCTCAAAAAGGAGAAGAACAGGAAAAAATACAAAATCCAAATAAATCCCACTGTTTGATGTAGCTGCTTTTAGCAGACTGAACCTTGAGACTCAAATCCCTTCCAATATGGAAATAAGTATGTATCTGAAATACATACGGAAATAAAAGAAAGGGAGAACCATATTAAAAGAATCCACTAGTTCTACCTGCTAATAAATGTATTTTTATCTTACTATGATGATGTAAGCTGCAGTGTTGATTATCATTATAATTCCTTCATCTGTTTTTCATTGCAAAGACATTACAGCTTTTCCTGCCACTAGTGTAAGAGGAAAAGTGGAAGTCACTACATAGTCAGAGTTCTTTCAGCAATAGTAGTAAATTACATATATACTTAATTGCTCTTTAGTGACTTCAAACTAAATTACTTAATAAAGTTGCTTCAAGCTTTTAACTCAGCTGGGAACAAGCAGCTCTAAGATTGAGATATCTGGAAATCAAAAAAGTAAATGTTGACAATGACAAGCATCACCTGTGACAGCTGAAATGGGCTGAAATGGTAGCCACGCTTACTAAGTTGTACGTGTCATAAAAAAGTTTTTATCGAAAAAATCGATCAGATAAATTTGCCTTGCTCTACATGATCAAGTAATTAGTGCTTAAAAATCCTCACTACCTTGCAATGTATTTCTACAAGTGCTTCGTAGTAGACAGCCTTTAAGTAGAAGAATTCCCCGACTATTTTCAACTTTCACCAGACATACAGAGTAAGTTCAAGATATATTGAAACAAAATTAGTGTAAATCTGATTTAACACACAATAACCTCAAAACTGTATCCAACATTGCTCTCTCAATTTGCATGTTTTGCATAATTTGCATGTTTTAAACACTTCTACTACTCCAAAAATTAGGACAGTAGTAGAGAGTAGGAGAGTGATACCAGTATTTTTCAGGAGTTTATTACGTTTGTAATGTTTATCAGGTTTCTTATCAAAATGCATGGCATTTCTGTTCCCAGAGTTTACCTTTCACTTTATGAAACCATACTATTCTATGCAAAAAGTTTTGTGCTACTGCAGCAACAAGAAGTCCTAAAAATCCTTCAATTATGAGAAGTAACCAAGTGAATGTCATCATGAAAGACTTCAGTTATGACAACAGTCATTTACCAGAAAGTTAAAAAAATCCAGAAGCAAAATAGAGTGTAACCAAAGTAGTTCCGATGATCTGAGAAAAAGCCAAACAATTATGTATTAACACAATATCCAAAAGTATCATGTTTGAAAAAGAAGTAAACATACTACACCGCATTGCAAATAAAACATGTCTACCAAAGTGATATGTAAATACCAGCAGTTAGAGATGAAAACTACTTGGGGGCAGGAGTGTGGATATTAAAACACATGCAGTCTCAAGAATTTCTGGAGTTTCCCTATAGTCATTTGATATTAAGATTCACAGTAAACTTCTTGTTCCTCTACTTGTTGGACAACAAAGGAATCTACTAAGATGACTGCTGTAGAGTGTGCATCCTTGAAGCAGCACTAAACCATCACTGACTTTGCAAACACCAATTTAGCCTTGAAAACAGTGACAATAATTAAAAACTACTTTTACCCAATATGGCCAAACAACACAATTACATATATCACTAATTGCTTTTTATCTAATTCAATGAAATCATACAAAACTATTAAATGTTTCAATTAAAGAAATCAACTCATTAACATCTGAAAGGAAAAATCCAATTAGTTTTTCATCCCAAATCCTTTAAAAAATATTAACTTACCAGCTTAATTGCCACATAGTCATTTGTGTATAAGTTTTTCCCTTGAAAAAAGAATAAAAACAAGAATGTGAGACACTGGCTTTTCTGTTCAACTAAATGCCATTTAAATACCAAGAAAGTCTTCAAAATATTTTTCATCTAAGGTGCTAGTGTTCTGGCAGTGACTTACAATATGTAGGTTTATTAAACCAATACTTTAATTTAAAAATAATTTTTCCTTGAATAATTTAAGAGGTGAAAATTTCACAGAGAGTTTCAGATATGTCATCAGGTTTGTGATTTTTTTTGAACTAAAAAAGCTTGAAAATTGGTTAATCACAATAACCAGAATGGGATTTTTTCATAATTATTGCTGAAAACTATTTGAAATTTATTTTTAAATTACCATGCAATTTTGAAAAATCAGCACTAATTAAAACTAGAATTAACTGGTTAATTAATTGAGGACTTTTTCTCCTCAATTATGTAATTTACTCAGCTAAAACTTAGGACAGGACAATAACATTCCTGATAGGCTTACACCACTTGCAAAATGCATCTGCAGCTTTAACAGGGATTCTGTAACTGGGTAAGAACTTTTCGATAACCATCACTTCAAACTGTATGCAATTACTAAAATGTTAAACAAGTTTTATAGGTGTAAGATTAAAAATAGAAGATAAAGGATAAATTGTCACTTCCAACACTTTTTCTTTCTTGACAATCTTCAAATGCATTTAGTCTATGTTATTCTTAATGATAATCCTCATTTTTTTCTCTGTAGTATTACTCAGGTATGAATTTCCTATGTTTAGCTCAGTTTTGTTAAAGAAATCAAATGGGGAAAAGACATGGACCAAGTCTAAAAAGTTCCCTGTGAAGACAGTTACACAGGATCATAGAATATTCTGATTTGGAAGGGACCCACAAGGACCACTGAGTCCAACTCTTAAGAGAATGCCCCACAGAGGGTTGGACCCACGAACATACTTCAATCAAGTGAGTTACACCAACAGTCAAAGACTAAGAACTGCTAATGATTCTTTTAAAAAAGAGAGTACTCCTATAAAGCTGAAATAAAATGCATTAAAAGCTTACATCTCTTAGTGGATCAAACTTCACAAAAAAAATCCAAAAAAATCAAAAACAAATAACCTGAGGGCTTCACGACAACAAACACGTAATTAATATGAGCAGTATGCTATAATCTGACCCACAAAAGGGGTCATAGTCCCCTATGTAGGGACTAGAGTGGATATCCAGGCATCCTAAGTATTTCTTATTGGCTGATCATATCAGTTACATTTTTGATAAGTGTATTTTGCAGTTGTTTCTGCGTCTTTGCATGGTATTAGAATCTATAAGACACCAACAGAAACTCTTGTGGGAGCCCTGCTCATTCCATCTCTTAGCTATATACATCACCTACTCTGAGGAAGTATCAAACCCAGTTACAATTAAGTAACAGGACATTGAGTTCCAAGAGCTGTAATGACATCCTTATTCTGAAGTAGCATCAGAAGGGCCACTAACTTTCCAGGTGGTCAGTCAGGACAAACATCTCTTTAAAATACAGCAGATACATATATAAAACACCACTGTTGATCTGTCCATAACCACATAACAGGTATTGAGTAATGCATCACTGGCAACAGACACAAATTCTCTTTTACTACCTTATCGGTTTATCTTAACTATATCAGTTTAATTTAAGTATAACAAAGAGTCTTAAAATTAACAGCTCAATAGCCAAACCAATTTAGTCCTTCGCAAGCTAATGGCTGAAGATCACAGACAGTAATTTGCTACACAGATCCAATTTCCCATTTGACCCCCAAGCCACTAGTGAAGTGGCTTCTTTCTTCTTAGATGGAAGAAAAACAGCTCCTGATATATAACTGAATTTTTATCTTCTGACCGTAACTTCATCCTTCTACAACTTTATTCCTCCTTTAAGTCCCTCAGGTTTAACCTTAGGACATGTGCTCAAAATATATTTCCATATGCAGAAGTGCATATAAAAAAATAAGCACCTTGTGTACATCTTTGTAGAAAGAGTGCACACTAAGTACTTGATACTGTAGCAAACCAAATGAAAAAATAAAAAAATAAAAATTAAATCAGAATCTATAACAACAATACTAACTTTTGCTTTCAGTAACTTACATTTAAAACATCTTCCTCATAAAGAACAATAAATAGGGATTTGAAATATCTAGAATATAAGCAAAACCCACAGTTATCAAAATCAGAAAGGCTATACATGTCCTGGTGACTGCTGCAGGACAATATACTGTCCCATAATTTCCCTCTTATTTCTTTTACTTACATGTTTTACTTTATTTCAGTACTATCAAACTGTAAGTCTTAACTAATTGAATATTGTATTTAAAATAAAATACATTGTTTCACTGTAACAGCTGCAAGTAAGTAAGTTAGTCAGATATTAATTCTTAATCAGCTCTGTACTTTGAGACCAAAATAATAGGCAGACAAAAAAATTACTAGTTTGCAGTCGCCTTTATGTAGAATTAATCTTGCTGGTTTGATTTAGTTCATTGAGAGGTTTGAAACAAAAATTAAGACTTGAAGGCAAGTATGCAAAAGTTTGGGAAGTGAGGAAGAACAATTTTTCAGCTTTATTTGCAGACTGCAAAGGCATGTATGCAACACTGTAAATGTCAAAATGTATCAATTTTGTGTAACTATTAATAGTAGTAAAAAGAGAACCTAAAAGTGAGACTGCAAAATTTAGTGTCCTAAGTCAGAGCTGCAGCAATATTTTCTTAAATACCTCTACAGTATTAATTTGCTACGTTTGTTTACATGATGACAGGCCCCAGAATGTACTACATTAAAAACATATTATATTTTATGCAAACACTATCATAAATATTGTCTGAAGGGCAATGAGTTCTACCACAGGCAATGATCAAATAGAAACAACACCTATATACTATAGCCCACCATCCTCTCAAATATCTAACTGTGAAATCCACCTCTATTTACTGCATGAAGCACTTTAACTCAAACCTTCTAACAATACTAGAATAAATTCTTGCCATTAAGTGTCAAGATGTATTTATTAACACACAGTTGAACTTAGACATCTTGAAAACCTTAGCTAATCATGCTGTCCATCCTGGAAATGCAAGTTCTCAAAACTATAGTCTTCTAAAAGCTCACACACATCAGTGTCTATTTTAATAAATGCTAGAATGTCCAGCTTTGCTACCCAAATTCTTCAAAACTCTATAGGTCCTTCTCAGTCTGCCTTCTCCACCACCTGATTTTCAGCCATCTGTTCAGCAGACAACTCGAGTGACTGAATTATCCCAATTTTTCTCTATAGATTCTCACTGCCCTGTTCTAATAGCAACTCAAGTGTTTAGCCTCACTACATTAAAAAAGAAACCAAGGAATTTCCTTGCTAAGGGGTATGAAAACTTCTGTAGTACCTGGTTACAGTATCTGCAAGAGATCTGCCAAACCTACAGGACAGGGATGTCTCTCATATATTTAGCCCTAAATATAACTCAATAAAGTGCTTTAGGAAGTCAGAAAAGACTGCTACAATAACCATGATGTAGGTTCCAACATCTTGGAAGAGAAAACTGACTTAATTAGGAGAGCACTGCAGATAGCTGGAAAACATTTCAGTCACAGAAGTATCCTGATGTACAGATTCTTCATGTCATCAAGCTTGCACTGGCTGGGGTAAAACCACAAAATATGGGCTGAATGTGCCTTGCACAACTGAAGCTCTGAGACAGTTTGAAGAGCTGCATGGTATTCAAAGAGAAATTTTCTTACCTAGACTGCATAAAAATGGCCTTGAATAATGTAAACTGAAATAAATTAACAAGAATCTTACCTAACCGTAGTTCTCCAAAATTACCGCATCCAATTTTTTTACCAACTCTGAAGTTAGGGCCAACCATTAACACTCCACAATTTGAAGAACCAGTTCCACGTGGATTATGGCCTGATCTCCCACTAGGCCGTGCCATTCTTTCATCTGGTTTGTCTTTGTCTTTCTTTTTATTTTCCATGTCAAGTTTATGGTTCTCCACTTTGATTTATTCCTCTTTTTAAAAATCAGTATAAGCAAATTCCAACTGGACAAGGTGAGAATGAAAACATCATGGCTGAAATGCCCAGCTGGTTAATGTCAGGAAGCAGTCAACTGCATCATGCTCATCCGGTTTGCAAAGCCTTGGTGGTACCTGTAGTAAAATGTATTTCCAGAATGCACGACACCAGCAATATTTCCTAGTCTTTAGAGGAATTCTGTTAAAAGAAAAACAAAGTTATTCAAGACATTAAGATTCTTGAACAAAATTAGCTTTCCCTTCAACTAGCCTCACAATTAAGCTGTAACTAATTATATTTGCTTTACAGATCTATGAAAAGCACTACTTTAAGGTAAATTCTATTTCTAGTATAAGTGATATTGTTATGACTGAAGTGTACTACAATTTCAACACTTCAAACAATAGGCTGTTTTTTTTTAAAGCAACAAAAAAGACCTATAAAACTTCTTCCTGAATAAACACACTTAATATTGATGCTTGGACACACTCACTTCACCTTATGCCAGCTCTTCAAAAGATATTTATTTTCCCTCAAATATAATCTGCTGTTTTAAGCAAATGCTCAAGCTGCAGTTATTGAAGTTATAGAAATATATTGTATTTTCTGAACTGTAATTTCTGAGATGTACAAATTATAAACTCATGGCAAGGATACTCGAGTTCTTTCAGTAACTCTAAAAGTCTGAAGTCTAAAACTAAACTGTATTTACTTATTCTCCCATACTATACTTCTGTCATAAACCTGTTTCCCTGCTCCCCTTCTCCCTTGTTTAGCATCACTGCCTAGACACAAACTTCTACAAAATTCATGCAAAGGAAAAACAATGTTATCTTACTACTGTAATAAGAATCATAAGAAAGCTTTTGTTTTTAAATTGAGTTATAAGAACACTGGATATTGTTTTCTATTTGATGACAGTGGTGTAAGCCCCTGTAATTCAGAAGTTTCTAGCCCATAATTGAGAAGCGGGAAAATTCCACAATGAGTTAAACATCTGTCCAAAATTATTTTCCTACATTTGCTTCAATGTTGGGAATACACAGCAGTAATGGAGAACATCTTCTGGAAAAATGTATTTCATGTGCTACACCCTATTTTAAAGGTAGTCACCAGGAGCTTATTTTTAACACTTTGATATGAAGACACTTTTACTTTATAAACCAATTTCTCACAGAGTAAAATTATTACTCACATCACAGCTGACCACAAAATTTCAAAAATCAAAGTGGTAGTAGTGAAAAATATACAAAATAATATGAACAGTCACATGAATAGTTGCATCTGCTAAATCCGACATAGTTACAGAATGGTTATAACTAGATGACATTTAAAAATCATTCATCAACAGCTGACTAACCTATTACCTGAACAAAGAAGTGCATGGAAATTTGTTTGGCAAAGAAATATAACCGCAATATGACCATAAAAGGGGGAATGAAAGGCTTGTTCTGAGATCAAAAAACACAAATGCAGGTTACAATTAAAGATTACTTGCTTACAATGACTTGCTTAATACCAGGGAAAAGACTCCACCAGCAAGTAATTAAAGCTGTGGTGTTTTATGGTACAGACAGAAGTGTTTAAGAGAAAACAATAGGCACATACTACATAACCTTGCAGGTTTTCAGATACCCTAAAGTCACCTTCTAAACCACAGATCTCAAAGGATATGACTCAATGGGAAGCAATAGGTAATCTCCCCTCACCCACTATGCTACAAAAGCTAAAGAAGAAATAAGAAAGCTAGACATCAAGTGTGTTGAAGTAGAACTTCAAGGTCAGCATGTTTGATGCAATGGAATGCAACTAGATGTTTTACATATCAAAGAAAAGAAGACTTCTATATTTTACTGGTTTTTTCAGAAAGAACTAACAATAAACAATCCTAGAATTTTTAGTGTACCGAATACATGACAAAAACCAGCAATTTTCATTTCCAGAAATGTGTCTATCATATGGACAAATCTATTACACAGTAACTTATGTCCTCCCCTTTCCTCCTGTTGAACCAACAGATACTCCATTTACATTATAGGTAAGCTTTCTTATATAAACTGAATTTAGTACTTTTTATAAGATATGTGCGAAATAACCAACACAAGTCACTCACATTTTTCCCACACTACATATGAAAAGGAAGACATCCAAGTATTCCTTGTCACAGTTTCTCCAGGACACAGGTGTTCTCTTACATTTTCCTAATAAAATAATCTGCAACTAACTCAAAATAAGGACAGTGCTTATGACTTTATTCATTTTGAAGTTTCTGTGCAATATTTTATGTGTTTATCTTAAAAATACAAAACGTTCTCATTGTTATATTTAATTGTATTGTACTTACCTATGACAGTATTATAATATTGATGGCAGTATCTTCTCTTCACCATAATGCTTACATTCTAGAGGAAAAGCACCAAAAGGCAAAGGGATATATTTATGTAGTATTTCCTATTATTTATCATGTAAAAAATTTTCATACACAATAAAAGTACAGTTTTTGGAACTGTTCATTTTTTTAGACTATTGAGGAAGATGCAGCAGATTTGTCTCAAAGACTCAACATAATTTTTAAGGCTCAGAAATCAGACATCATTCAAAGGTGTGCATTATCTGAAGCACAAAAAGAACACATATAGTGTAAGCATTATAAATTATTTGCAAAATCATTTTCTTGCTACATGACATTTTTGGGCAATCTGTGTGAAAAACACACCATCTTCATTTCACAGCTTGATTTTCTGTTTAGTTTTCCTTTTTTCATTTCTGCCTACATAAATGAGCACACTTAAACCACAAACTTCAGCCCAACATCAGGGAATGTTGTTAGGATTGAAATAACTGTTCTTAGTTCAAAAATATGTAGGACTAAATATCAGGACAATGGCAAACACCATCAAAGCCAAGTTGACAAAGCAATATCATAGGAATGAAATTACTATGTTCAAGTGTGAAGAGAATGAGAAGGGAAAATAAGCTATCAAAAGAAAGTCAAAATGGTATTACATAGAAGAAAAAGTAATTACATCTCAATTATAAACTAAATCTGTAATCTATATAGACTGAAGATAAAAAATAAAACAAGACTGAAAGAAAGCAAGTAACTTCAAAGTAAATGACATGCACAACTAATAATAGCTATCCGAGATTTCAGTTTTTCTTGTTTTTTTGATAGACTTTTCCAAGCAGTGCAGAGAGACCGTGTGAAAAGTAAGAGGCACAGTGAAGAAAAGTAAGAAAAATTACATTAGGGTTTCAATTGGCTGACAGCTCACATACCTAATACTTGCAAAACTGTCCCTAGATTAGAGCTATAAATCTACACATCTCTCTAAATCTCTGCTTGAAAATGTCCCAATTAACACTACTGAAGACTATATGCCACATAAGAACCCTATTCTGTAGCAACAACTCTCTAGGACACTACATAAGGCAGAATAAAAGAACAACTCAATTAAGCATGTTCTTTATTCATACATTTCTCAAATGCCTGATCCTACAGCAACAGCAGGAACACCACTGTAATTAAATGCAAGCTTATATGTTCCAAAGTGCCATCATGACAATGTTCATACTCAAGTCACCTTTAAAAAAAAACAAACTTCTATCTACCTCATTCCTTTTTCGTATTCCAGATTTACTCCTAAATAAACTAATTAAGACAACATTAAATTAGCTAAATAGAACACTCCACTGCCCAGGAATGACAAACTTAAATGACACATACAACCATAACCACTCCCTTAGGTAATATAGGCATTACCTCCACATTGTAATTACAAGATTATACTGATATTAGCAGTGATGTATGCTAACATTTTTCTCTACTTTTAAGAAAAGCATACAGCAGCAAAAGAGCCACAAAGGAAAATGTGATGGAGCTTTAAACTACTTTGGAAGAAGGAAAAGACACAAACAGATTTGACAGTGATAAGCAATGGGATGGTATGCCAAAACTCAAGGAACTAAGTGCTAGTGAGATTCTTAAACTGGTCCAGGAGGTGTCACCTACAAGGGATCACACCCAAAATGTTTTCACACCAACACACATAGCATGAGGATCATTAATGGAATAAGTGAAACCTAGTGGATGAACCCCTTGATTGATGTGCCATGCTGGATGGTCACAAGCTCTCCAGGAGGGACAGGCAGGGCAGGTGAGCTGGAAAGGCTGGAATATTCCCTGAAGCCAGCAATGTCAAGCTGACAGTCTCTGAGTAAGGATTAAGGGACAAAAAAATAATGTGGACGTCATTGTACAAATCTACTATAGGCTACCTACCCAGGACAATGATTCCAGAGAATTACTCTTCGACGAACTAAGGGACACCTTCAAAACAGCTGCCCTTGTTCTTACAGGAACATCAACTTGTCAGATGTTAACTGGGAGCATGACACAGCTGGTAAAAATAGGTCCAGAACAGTCCTAAATCTGGATAGTCTTATGATACAGCAACTGATAAAACCAGCTACGAAAGGTGCCCTCCTTGATGTGCTGCTTATTAACACGGAGGACCTCATTAATATAGTGGTGACTGGTGGCCACCTTGGCCACAGTGACCACAAAGCAATTGAGTTTAAAATCTCCCTTATCAGGAGGAAAAGTGACAGCAAGATTTCAGTCCTGGGCATGACAAGAGCTGAATTCATGCTGTTTAGGGAACCAGTAAGCTGCCCTGAGAAAATGGTTTTGTGGGTGCTGGGGTCCATCAAGTCTGATTATTTTCTAAGCCTCACCTCTTAGGGGCACAGGAGCAGGAAGTTCCAAAATGTCAGAAGTCAAGCAGAGGAGGCAGAAGGCCAGCTTGGCTGAGCAGGAATCTTCTCTCAGAAATAAGGCGAAGAGCTGTATGCCCAGTGGAAGCAAGGTCTGATGAAGGGAAGAGCTACAGAGATGCTGTAACATCTGACAGGACCCAAGGGAATGGCCTGAAGTTGTGTCAGGGGATATTCAGATTGTATATTAGGTAAAGTTCTTCACTCAGAGGGTGGCTTGGCACTGAACAGTTTCCCGAGGGAAATGGGCACAGCATGAGCCTGACAGAGATCAAGAAGTGTTTGGGCAACATTCTCAGGCACATGGTGTGACCCTGAGGGGTGTCCTGTGCAGGGCCAGGAGTTAACTTCAATGATACTTCAGGGCCCCTTCTAACATGAGATATTTTATTATTTTATGAAAGACAATAAAGAAATAGTCCTGGTTTCAGTACAAGGCATTTAAAATTCACTCAGCCTTCTGGCATTTTCAAACTTATGCGGTTTCTCACCGCTCAGCTATCTGTTCACGTATTTCTAAGCCCAAGGACTCATGATTTTTGGCAGTTACAGTAATTTAGCAACACAACTTCTCACATATAGAAAAGTGCAGAGAAAGTTTCTAGTGCCTCTACCAAAGAGACTTTCTCTAACACTACATGTAATTTTTGTTGAATACTTCACCTACTACAGTCTTCAACTGAGATGAAGAATAGTTACGTTCACTTTCCAATGATTATTTCCATGTTACAAATACATTTGTACTGTAGAAAAAATAACACAAGATTCCATCCAAAAAAACTCCTTTAGAAATACTTAAGAGTAGAAAATCTGAAATTCATACTACAAATCTGAAACCAGAGTTTTGCTGTGAGGCCATAATACAAAACTTAAATATCTAATCAACTCTTGCTGCTATTTTTGTATACTTCATGGAACAATTAAGCTATTCGTTCTAGATTAGTTATTACTGAATTATTTTCATTCATTTTTATACACATGTCTCCATGCAACAGAGGAAAGCTATGAAATTCCAAATCCGCAGCACACAAGCTCATAACTGAAGATCCCCCTGAAAGTTTAGGATAGCAGTTTCTAACTGCAAGAAAGTTTTCAGACAGCATTTGAATTGGAAAATATCCCTAAAATTATAGATTATTTAGTTAGACCCACTGTTTATTTAAAATGAAAAATAAACATTTCATGACAGAAGAGTGGATTTCATTATTTTCACTTTAGTCCAAGAAGAGCAACACAAGCTTTCACATAACTTTTACGTGACCCAAAGTTGAGTTGCTATTCCAATGATTTATACTATAAATAAGTGTCTATAACTTTATTTTTTTGTATAATACTTTCCTAAGCAAAAACTAAAATAAAAAGTTGCTTAATGATTCACTGCATAACTCAACTAAATGTAGCCCAATTATTACTTCATCATTTTTCAGCTTTCCAAAGCAGAAACAATATGCAAAATCATGAGCACTTCAGTCAAAACTAAAAACAAAGTTCGTGTGCTGAAATATTCAGTACATAAAACTTCCACAGATGGTACATACTCATGATACCAGCTTTGAAAAACAAAGAACATTTCCAAACAAATTTCTTCTGACACAATTTCTCTCTCCAGCTCTCAGTAACCTGTATCAAAATTGCTCATTACTGAATCATTTTACAGGTCTTAGATGGTGATCTTCATATATGACCTGAACACAATGAAAACTTACTTATCAACAACTCATTTTGCTCTAAACAATATAATCTACTTCATACACCTGGGGAATTCCAAGACTAATGGCATCTGATTTTACAGTTTTTTTTAATTTTTTCACATATAAACGAAATACAGCTTAGCATTATCTGCTCTTCATATTTTCAGAATTTGGTTACTTCATCAAAGACTATTTTATTCTTCCATTCCTTAGGTACTTATTCTGACTTCAATTTGGTAAACAATTACCTTGGAAGCACTGTAAAAAGACTACGTACATTCCCTGAAACATCATCTTCCCAAAAAAAAAAAAAAATCAGTAGTTTGTAGCAGATGTGAACTAATCCAAGAATTAAGGATAGTCTTTTTCAATTTTACATAGGAAGACTGCTGTCTCCACAATAATAAAATAAGAAACATACAAGAAGTGACAATGCACCTAAATAATATCTCCAGCAGGATTAACATTCAAGCCATCAAAAACCACTGCCACATCATTTCTCTGCCAGTTTGCTTTTCAAAATACTGAACTACAGAACCCACATTTGCTACATTTTCCTTACAGAGGAAAACGTACATAATACACTAATAAGTTTGAAATCCTTCCTACAGTTTTATCAGCAAAGAGGGAAAACACACAAAGCAACTGCTACTTCTTGAACACACAGAATTTTCCACACTTCAGAAGATACGGGTGTTTATTTAAGAATGCAAATATAATAACCTAATTTCAAAGGCAAATGAAACTTCTTTATAACACATTATGCAGGAGCTCAACTGTGCAGTTTATTTCTCAGTGTGCATGGCCTACAACACTTCTGATTCATGCTCTTCAGCACTCCAAAGCAACTAACAGATCACAACTGCATGTAAATTTTGTTTTCATTACCAGAACTTCCAACAATACAATGTTTGTATCTCAAGTACCTTCTACGC